TGTTAGTGCGTGATGCTCTTTTAGTAAGGAGAGAAAGAGAGAATAATAAAGGAAATAAGGATTCTATTATTCACTTAATGTATTATACAAAATAAGGATATATAATATGACTATTTATAAACAACCCTAATTGGGATTGGGCTAACACAACTTGGATTATATTTAAATTTTAAATCTAATCAAATCTAATCAAATCTATTTTAATATTTCAACACACTCCCATAATCCAAGTTGTCGAACTTATGCCAGTCATAGTCGATTTGAACTATTCCCAATTTCTTTCTCAATTTCATGAATCTCTCAATCTTCAATCCTTTGGTGAAAATGTCAGTCAACTGTGCTTCACTTGAGCAATGCTTAACTTCAAGTTCACCTCAATTTACCTTTTCCATCAAGAAGTGAAACCTAGATTCGATATGTTTACTTCTTCCATGTAGAACTGGATTCTTCGCCAGATTTATGGATGACTTGTTGCCGATTTGCAACACTAGAGGTTTCTTCACTTTGACCTTCATTTCTTCAAGTGCTGATCTGATCCAAATTTCTTCACAAGCAACATAGGATCCTGCTATATATTCATCTTTACACGATGCCAATGCCACCACATGTTGCTTCTTCGAAAACCGTGAGATTGGGGCACCAAATACTTAAAAGAAACATCTAGTTGTGCTTCTTCGATCATCCTTATCTCCACACCAATCATCATCTGAAAAGCAATTAACTATTGCTTCTTTGTTATCATAATCTCGTCGAAATAGTATTCCAAAGTTGATCGAACCCTTCAAATATCACATTATTGTTCTTGTAGCCTTCATATGTGACACTATTGGTTCACTCATGAATCTGCTCACTAATCCGACTGCAAAACCTATATCAGGTCGACTGATGCACACATATCTCAAAGATCCCACGATTTGCTTGAACAAAGTTACATCGACTTTTTCTTCCTCTCCATTCTTCTCTAACCTCACATTTGGTTAGACAGGTGAAGATGAAAGATTCGAATCATCCATTCTAAATCTCTTGAGTATCTCTTTAACATACTTTCTTTTATGTATCACCATACCTTGCTTCGACATTTGAAATTCCATGCCTAGGAAATACAACAATTCTCCCATATCTGACGTTTCAAATTCCTTCATCACCAGCTCTTTGAATTTTGACAAGTTCTCCAAACCGTTTCCAGTTACTAGAAAGTCATCGACATATAAGCATATTTTCATTTCACAAATCCCAATTCGACTAAGTGTGAGTCGATCTTCTTGTTCCATGCCCTAGGTTCCTGCTTAAGGCTATAAAGTGCTTTGTGCAACTTATATACTTTAACATTTCCTTATGAATCCCAAACCCTGGAGGTTGTGTGACCTACACCTATTCATCTAAAGGACAACTCAGAAATGTTGATTTCACATCTAAGTGAAATGTCGACCAGCTTTGATTGCATGTCAATGTTATCACTAGTCGAACAGTCTCCAATCTTGCTACTGGAGCAAATACTTTAGATTAGTCGATTCCTTCTCGTTGAAGAAACCCTCAAGATACTAATCTTGCTTTATGTCTTGCTATCGAATCATCAGTATTATGTTTCAACTTGAACACACACTTCACTTCGATAACTTTTGTATATGCTGGAAATTCGACTAACTCCAATGTATTGTTTCTTTCAATTGCATGTAACTCTTTGACCATAGCTAACTTCCACTGTTTAATCTTCAAAGCTTCGTTATGGTTTATTGGTTCAGCACATGTAACTATAGCAAAATGAATTAATTCTCCATCTGGTGTGACTTCATCATCACCTACTATCTTATAATCATGAAGTCTTATTGGAAGAACTCTATTTCTTTGATGTCTTTGGCTTGTTTCAGCCACAGTCTCTTCAACTTCGACTATTTCTGGAATGTCAGCAACTGCTTCTACTTCTACTTTGACTGGATTCTCAATAATTCCTTTGACTCGGACTTCATCAGTTTCTTCGTCAAAATCGGATCTCATTAATGGCTTGTTAATTGAATTACTAAAATTCCAATCCCAGGAAAAATTTTCATCAATCACAATATCTCGACTTAACACAATCTTCTCATTAATTGCATTGAATAACCTGTATGCACCAGTCTTGTGATATCTTACCAGAATCATAGGTTCACTCTTGTCATCAAGCTTCCTTCTTCTCGTATCAAGAACATGCTTGTAACACATAGATCCAAACACCTTCAAATGACTCACTGATGGTCGTTTGTCACTCCATACTTCTTCAGGAAGCTTATTCTTCAATATCTTGGTAGGGCACCTGTTCAAAATATAAACTGCAGTTGAAACAACCTCTCCCCATAAGGATTTTGGAAAATTCTTCTATTTTAGTATGCATCTCGCCATATTCAATATGGTTATGTTTCTTTCTTCTGCAATTCCATTATGTTGAGGCGTATAAGGAGCAATTACCTCATGATCAACACCATGTTCTACATAGAATTTTTCAAACATCTTCGAAGTGTATTCTCCATCTCCATCTGTTCGCAGAACTTTGATCCTCTTCTCACTCTGGTTTTCGACAAGTGTCTTGAATCTCTTAAATATTTCGAATAATTCGTCCTTTCTCTGGATCACATAGATCCACAACTTTTAACTAAACTCATCGACAAACGAAACAAAATATATGTTTCCACCAATTGTATGTTCTTCGAATGGACCACATACATCTAAATATACCACTTAGAGTATGCATGATGATCTTATTGGCATTGTCGAAACAAAAGAGTTTCTAGATTGCTTTCCGACTAAAAACCCTTCACAAAGTTTTTCGGGTATCTCAAGACTTAGGATACCAGATACCATATCTTGAGTAATCAACTGATTGAGTGATCGAAAATTCAAATGTCCAAACCTTAAATGCCACAACCAACTATCCTTGTGGTCGACAACAGTTTTTAGATATTGTACTTCAGTCGAACTGATCATGGTCTTAAACGTATTATTCTTTGACATAGGATATTTTAAGACCAAATTGTTCTTGGTGTCAAACAATTTTAAGACTTCATCTTTCATGACAACTGAGAAACCTCTTTCGACTAGTTGTCCAACAATTAGCAAGTTGCACTTTATTCCAGGTACATAGAGGACATCTTTGATCATAGTTTTTCCTCTATTACTCATTTGAAAGACTATGTTGCCAGTACCTTCTTCTTGCAACAAACTATTATCAGCAAGTTTTACCTTGCTCTTCTTCGACCTGTTAAAATCTTCCAACCATTCCTTTCAACCAGTCATGTGGTTCGAGCAACCTAAGTCGAGAAACCAAATCTTGGATTCAACATGGTTATCTGTAACTGCAGCCATAACCACCATACCACCTTCAGAATCCTCTGAATCTTGGTGTGCAAGGTTCGCTCCTTCGTCCTTGTCTGTCGATCCCTTGTCTTTTATGTACCAACAATTCTTGGCTACATGACCCCACTTTTCACAGTTATAGCACTGCACACCTTTTTTATCTTCTTTGTCCTTTCGATAATTTCCCCATCCTCTTTTCGAGGATTTAGAAGTTCTGTCTTTGACCTAATGCTTGTGACGGTTCGACCAAGATTTCTTTCCCCGAGTCTTGTCGACATTGCCTTTGAACTTGTTGGTACCACCATTCCTTTTCGACGATTGTGCTTGCAGTGCCTATATCGAGTCCTAAACCTTTTTCTTTCGACAATCTTCATCTCATGCGCCTCAAACAAACCAACCAAATCTTCCACTTTTAGGGTTTCAAGTTTGTTGGATTCTTGAATAGCTACAATAACGTGATCAAAGTGAGAGGTTAACATTCTCATTACCTTCTCAACTATCATCTTATCAGTTATGATTTCACCACAACTCTTCATGAGATAGACGAGTTTCTGAACCTTCGACACATATTCTGCAACTCTTTTGTCTTCTCTCATCGACAACAACTCATATTGTCGATGCAAGGTTTGTAACTTGACAACTTTGACCTTCTCACCTCCTTCGTAATACTTCACCAGAATATCTCATGCCTCCTTCGGTGTTTTAGCATGAGAAATCATGTCGAAGTTAGCAGTATCGGCAGTCGTCTGAATGCAATAAGAAGCCTTGCAATCTTTCTTCTTGACTTTGTTGTGGGCTTTTTTCTGTTCATCGGTTGCATTTATAGCTAACACGGGAATGTCGTTGGTAACCACTTATAAGGTTTCATGGAATTCAAACAACGATTGCATCTATTTTTTTCATCAGATCTAATTTTTTTCGCCAAGCATTGGAAAAGAATTCGGAATACCCTTATTACTAGCCATCTTCGCAGCGGTTGATTCACTTGCCCTGGAAACACAATCTCTGACGTGAAGTTCTTGAAAACTCGATCAAGAACAATAACCGGAAGCTCTGGATACCAATTTGTTAGTGCGTGAGACATTTTTAGTGAGGAAAGAAAGAAAAAATAATAAAGGAAATAATGATTCTATTATTCACTTAAAGAATTGTACAAAATAAAAATACATATTATAATTATTTATATATAATCCTAATTAAACTTAGTCTAACAGAACTTAAATTATATTTAAATATTAAATCTAATCAAATCTATTTTAATATTTCAAAAACATATCTTGACTATATCCCAGTCAATTTCTTAACCAAGGTCTTCAGTCAATTTCTTAACCAAGGTCTTCATACTTGTTTTTTTAACTATGTGCATATTCCAAGTTGTTGAAACCTTTAAATTTTGCAATTGATGATTTTATCATCACTCTTCTTAGATTCTAGTTAAAGGAATGCCCGGTCAGAAATGGAACGTCCTAGACCACACACTAATAAGGACACCTTAATATCATAAACTTTCATAATATCTAATGCAGCTGCCAAAACTTGTTTGAATTGATGTGTTGACTTGCAATGACCTGTATGGGCTGGCATGGAGTACTTTTCAAAGAAGAAAATACTTTTAACAAACTTTCCTCTACCTTAAACCAATTTCAATTCAATAAAAGTTTCTCTCATCATCAATGCCTCAACCTAAGCTTCTTATCACTCTTTTTCAATCAGTAACCATGATTCTATGTTGTGTTTCCACTACTGAATTTGTCTATAATACAAACTTCAACTCCTCAAACATCAACTTATATGGAAATGCAACCATTAACAGATCCATTCTCACTCTCACTAATGGAAGTTTCTTCTCAATAGGTCGTGCTTTTTACCCGAAAAAACTACCTACCAAACTTCCCAACTCTTCCATTCTTCTCCCCTTTGCTACTTCCTTCATTTTCTCTGTTGCCCCTATCAAAAACTATATTGCAGGACATGGCCTTGCCTTCATATTCACACCTTCAAGAGGTCTAAATGGCACGACATCAGCCGAGTATAATGGTCTTTTCAATCTCACCAATGAAGGTAATCCTAATAACCATGTTCTTGGAATTGAATTTGATATAGTCAAAAACGAAGAAGAATTCAACGATATAAATGACAATCATGTTGGTCTTGACATAAACTCGCTTAGATCCTTACCTTCACATGAGGCTGGATACTGGGGTGGAAAAGATGACAATGAGTTTAAGGTGTTGAAGATAAAAAGTGGAGAAAATTATCAAGTATGGATTGAATTTATGCATTCTCGGATAAATGTTACCATGGCTCGTGCAGGACAAAAGAGGCCACGAGTTCCTCTCATCAGTGTGAATGTTAATCTTTCTGGGGTTCTTATGGACGAAACCTACGTCGGATTCTGCGCTGCCACAGGGCTATTAATTGACAGTAGTAGGATTCTTGCTTGGAGCTTTAGCAATAAAAATTTTTCAATCGGTGATGCGTTAGTGACAGACAACTTGCCTTCATTTGTCCCTTATAAGAGATGGTTTTCTCGAGCAAAAGTTATAGCTGTAGGAGTCACCAGTGTTGTCTGTGTGTTGATCATCTGTTGCGGTTGTGTAGTGTTTTTCATTCTATATAGGAGGGGAAAGGAAGATGCAGAAATTGAAGAGTGGGAACTAGAATATTGGCCACATAGAATTAGTTTCCAAGAGATTCATGAAGCAACAAGAGGGTTCTCTGAAGAGAATGTGGTTGCTGTAGGAGGAAATGGAAAGGTGTATAAAGGAATTTTGCAAGGAGTTGAAGTGGCAGTCAAGAGAATCCCTCAAGAAAGAGAAGATGGAATGAGAGAGTTTTTGGCAGAGGTTTCAAGCATAGGAAGAATGAAACACAGAAATTTAGTAGGATTGAGAGGTTGGTGCAAAGAAGAAAAGGGAAGCTTGATTCTAGTTTATGACTTCATGAATAATGGAAGTTTAGACAAATGGATCTTTGAGTGTGAAGAAGGAAAGATGCTAACATGGGAAGAAAGGATTCAGGTTTTGAAAAATGTAGCTGCAGGGATTCTATACCTACATGAAGGTTGGGAAGTTAAGGTCTTGCATAGAGATATCAAAGCGAGCAATGTTTTACTTGACAAGGACATGAATGCAAGATTGGGAGATTTTGGTTTGGCTCTTATGCATGAGCATCATGGGCAAGTGGCCAGCACAACAAAAGTACTAGGGACATTAGGATACATTGCTCCGGAAGTGATTCGAACGGGAAGGGCGTCGACTATGTCTGATGTGTTCGGCTTTGGTATATTGTTGTTAGAAGTAATTTGCGGGCGAAGACCGATTGAAGAACTTAAGCCAGGACTAATTGAATGGGTGAGGTCTCTAATGTTGGTTAGCCAATTGCACAATGCTGTTGATGAAAGGTTGAAGGCCAGAGGAGGATACCCTATTGAGGAAGCTGAAAGATTGCTTCATTTGGGTTTGATGTGTTCAAATTCAGACCCTAGTGTTAGACCAACAATGAGACAGATTGTGAAAAGTCTGGAGGGAGAAATGAACAACATTGATTGTGATGAAGAAAATATGGAGATTAGTTTGATTGGAAAACTAAAATCAGTTGAAATATGGTCTAAAACAATAAGTACAGTTCCATATAGAGATCACCCTACTTTTGAAGAAGTTATAAGTTATAATTCAAAAGCATCTACAAGTGGCTCAAGTGTTATTCAAGCATCAGATTCAGATATCATTTGGGAAGGCAGATAATATTATAAGTTTTTTTAGAGTTTAAGTATATTATAGGAAGAGTCGTCTCAAGTTTTTGAAATTCATGTGATGAGGTTAGTCGTAGTTTAATTATGACAAAATAAATATAGGCTTTATTTAATTACGATTTAACAGTGACAAGATTTTATGAGGATCTATTTAGCAACGGTTTAACCGTATTAAATTTTGGACGTGTGTGGTAGTCCGCCTTGCACACCCTCAAAGACGGTCCTATCAACTAGAAAATTATTTAACTTTTGTTCATTAGAAATTTAAGTTTAGCTATCATATTGTGTATAATGAAAATGATTATTCGAGGTCTTAGCTTATAATTTGTAGTTTCTGTACACTGTCCAAACATAGAAGTTGTTGTTTTATGGAACTTTTCAATTCCTGTGTGCTTATGAAACGTCCAAAGAAGGATGCATGTCGTGCCGTGTATGTCAAGGTATCTTTGGGAAAGATTTTATTAGAGTTGTGTTGGAGCTATTATGAATATGATAGCAACACAAGTTCATTATTTTTGGTTCATGTGTATGCAACACAACTTTTGTTCACAAGTCACTTTTCAACCCCTTCATGGATTCGGATCAGAATTATATCCCTGCAGTTATTATCCAATGAGTTAATATAGTTTTTGTTTCTACTATCAATTGGAACTGATTGTAATTAGCATAACTACTTTTAGTTAGGTTGTTAGGAGTTAGTTATTCATCCCTAACCAATTATAATTGATATAAGTAGTAGGTTGCTCTATTCACTTAGTAGATTTGTGTAATATTTTTCATCATCAGTGCAATAGTGGTTGTTCTTTCTTCTTCAATAGAGTTTTAGTTTCTCCTTTCACATAAACTCCTAATCACGCCATTAATCCTCAAGATAAAAAAATGGAAGGTGTTGGGAGATAAGTATTTTAGTCCAATCTAAAGAAGTAAGAAGGATTGGAATTTTGAACGAAAAAGTGAGTTTGTACGCAAGAATAAGGTACACTTTGCAACGATGAGTGGGGTGTTGACATAGGAGGATGCAATAGAGAACTCCATGAAAATGGAAGAGATAGCCATGGAAATGGAAGAGATAGCCAAGGAAGATGAAAGGAGAATGCAAAAAGTTTGTTACTGGTATATTCAGTATGTACGGTGTGTATTATCCAAAAGTACATTCAAGGGTATATATATTTATACAAGTCATGCTATGACCAATTAATAATAAACTAACTATTGATCCTTAATAGTAAAAATAATATGAGCTAATATGCCCTCTCAAGTTGGACTATGTATACTACAAAGTCCTAACTTGCCCAGAATAGAAGAAAGATCAGATGAATGGAGAGGTTTTGTGAACATGTCTGCGAGTTGTGCAGTAGTGGAAATAGACAGCAAATGAATGAGATTAGAGCTAATCTTCTCACGAATAACGTGGCAATCGAGCTCAATATGTTTGCTGCGTTCATGAAATGTGGGATTGTGGGCTAAGTATATTGCGGATCTACTGTCACAGAAAACAAATGCTGGCTTGGAGAAGTTAACTTGTAAGTCACGAAACAAGTATTGTAGCCATTGTAATTCACAAGTGAGTGAGGCTAAGGTACGATACTCAGCTTCAGTTGATGAGCGTGATACAACATTTTGCTTCTTGGATTTCCAGCAGATGAGGGAAGATCCAAGAATGATGCAAAAACCGGTAACGGGTCTTCTAGTATCAGGGCACCTTGCCCAGTCTGAATCTGCAAAAGCAGACAGCTTCAAGTCACTAGAAGAAGAGAAAAGGATACCTTTTGCAGGAAATGCTTTTAGATAGCGCATAATTCTTGTGGCAGCTTGATAATGGGGTAGTAAGGGGTTAGACACGAATTGGCTAAGATGTTGAACGGCAAAGGAGATATCAGGTCTTGAGTTTTTCAAATAAATCAACTTGCCAATGAGTCTGCGGTAGCTTGAAGGGTCCTCCAGGGGTTGTCCTTCATGAGTGGTTAACTTGATATTTGGATCAAAGGCCACAGCAGATGGTTTGGAGGCTAAAAAACCACTGTCAGCTAGGAGTTCCAAAGTATACTTTCTTTGGTTCAAAAAAATGCTAGTTGTAAATCTTGCTATCTCAAACCCAAGGAAATATTTAAGTTGACCAAGATCTTTGATATGAAACTGATGATCCAGGAGCTGTTTGACTCTTTGGATTTCTATGATGGAAGTATCTGCCAACACTATATCATCCACATAGACCAAAAGAGCAGTAAACTCATCATGGTTGTATTTTGTGTAAAGTGAGTGATCAGCCTGTGATTGAGAATAACCAATGGAGAAAAGGAAGATAATTTTGAGTACCATTGCTTACTCGCTTGTTTAAGGCCATACAAGGATTTTTGCAGTTTGCACACCTGAGTAGGGTTTGAAGTATGAAAACCAGGTGGAAGAGTCATGTAGACCTCTTCCTGTAGGTCCCCATGAAGAAAAGCATTGTTGACATCAAGCTGCTCCAAGTGCCAACCCTTGATAGCTGCTAGTGACAGAAGAACTCTTACAGTGGTAAGCTTGGCAACAGGGGAAAAGGTGTCAAAATAATCAATGCCTTCCATTTGTGTATACTCTTTGGCTACCAACCTAGCCTTATACCTTTCAATAGAACCATCTGCTTTATATTTCACTTTGTATACCCATCTGCATCCAATAGGTTGCTTACCAGGAGGTAAGTCAACTACATCCCAAGTGTGATTCTCAGCAAGAGCATGTAGTTCAGCATCCATAGCATTTTTCCAATAGTCAAACTTAATGGCTTGATTATATGTTTTGGGTTCAGTGATGGAAGAAATTGAACAACAGAAATGTTTATAGGATGGTGAACAATTTTGATAAGAGATGATAGATGAAAGAGTTTTTGCAACATTGGATGTAGTAGGATGTGATGCAAATGAGTTATGTGATGCAGCATAACAACGATAGTCATTAAGGTAATTGGGAGGGTGGGAGTTTCTGGTGGAATGCCTTAAGGGGATGGATTGTATGATTGCATTAGAATGAGATATGGGTGCATTAGGCTGAGATACCAAAGGTGATTCAGAGGGAGAGGGTGAGGTAGGATTAAAATTAGAGATAGGAGGTGAAGGTTGGGAAGTTAAGGGTATTTGGTCAAAAGAATTGGTACTGGTGTTAGGAGTACTAGAAGAGGTTTGAGGAGAGGCAATAGGTAAGGATCTGGTGGATAAAGGGTTGGGTTGGATAGGACATGACTGCTGATTTTAAGCAGTAGGAAGAGGGGAAGATGTGACAGATGCAAGTCTGGTTGTATTAAGATTGTCATTGGGGGAAATGGTGCCAATAGGTGAGTTGGCAGAAGTACTAGGTTCAGAAGAGAGAGAAATATCAGTGGTGCTGGTAGGTGTTTGTTCAAGAGGTATATCCTCCAGTATAAGCAAGGGACTGATGGTTTTAAGAGGATTTTGTTGTTGAGACAAATTTGGCTTGAAAGGAAAGAAGTTTTCATAAAATATAACATTTCTTGATACAAAGATGTCGTGGTTCTGCAAATCATAAAGTATGTAGCCTTTTGTCCCATCTTTGTATCCTAAGAAAACAGCTTTCCTAGATCTAGGGTCAAACTTTGTCCTATGAGCATGTAAGGTGGTAGCAAAGCTCAAACACCCAAAAACATTCAGATGTATTAAGTATGGAGGCTGAGAAAACAGCATTTCATGAGGACACTTAGATTTTAATAGAGGAGATGGTAATCTATTTATGATATGAATGGCATGTTGAATAGAAAATTTCCACAAATTTAAAGGAATGTTAGAGTGAAAGTATAAGGATCTAGCTACATTAAGAATATGCTGATGTTTTCTTCCTACCACCCCATTTTGTTAGGGTGTCTCAACACAAGATTTTTGGTGAATGATACCTTTTGACAAAAGAAAGTCAGACAAAGCTAAGAATTCAGTACCATTATCACTTCTAAGACATTTGAGTGTGGTATGAAATTGGTTTTCCAAATAGGCTATAAAATGTATTAAGTTATTTTTGGTTTGATCTTTTGTTTTAAGAAATATCACCCAAGTGTACCTACTATAATCGTCAACAAGGGTTAAGAAATACTTTTGACCTAAAACAGAAATTGTAGAAAAAGGGCCCCATACATCAGCATGAAGTAATTCAAAAGGAGCAGAAGAAAAATAAGTGTTATTAGGAAAGGGTAATTTTCTTTGCTTGCCAAGATGGCAAGATTCACAAGGTGTATTATTATTGTTACATGGTATTAAAGGAAAAACTGTAGAAATGGCTTTCATGCCTACATCAGATATATGGCCTAATCTTAAGTGCCAAAGATTACATTTATTATTGACATTAGAGGTGTAAGATGAAGACTTGCTGGTAATGTCAAGAACATAGAGACCTCTGTGCAATTTAGTTGTACCAATCATTTCCTTAGAATGATTCTGCAGGATATGGCATGTATCAGCACTAAATTGTACAAAGCAGGTATTTTGGCTAGTAAGTTTAGCAATGGATATTAGGTTAACATGGAAGGTGGGTATATAGAGGACATTGTGGAAAGTTAAATTGGGTGATATAGCTACACTACCAGTCATGGATGCAGTAGTATGAGAACCATCAGGCAAGTTAACATGCAAAGGAATGATATGCTTAAGATTTGTAAAAAAAGAACTGTCAAAGGAGATATGGTCTGTGGCACCAGTATCCAGTATCCAAAGGGGAGGATTCTTACCATTGGTGGTGGATGAATTCATATCATAAGGTGATGTTGAGATGGAATTGGCTTGGGAATTAAGCTTTGACTATTGAATCAATGCAAGGATGCTATTGTACTGCTCTTGAGTGAATCCAGAAGGAGATGGAGATGACGTTGAGAAGAGTCGGATGCAGTATTGGCTGAGGCATTGTGTGGAGAATTATGAATCTTGCCCTTTTGTTTGAAACATGGTGGATAGCCATGTTTGAGGAAACATGTCTCCACAGTGTGATTGGTTCTCCCACAATGTGTACAGATAC